ATTTTTTGGGAACAATCCAACCAATAATGTGCTTCCTCACTTATGTTCTTAAATATATTGTTTAACTAACTCGACCTGCGAAACACCTAAATATTAATAGGCATAATACGTTCATATCTCTTCAACTAACACACAAAAGATGGGATTTGTTAGTTTAAAATTGAAAAATGAAATTTGATGATTTACTCTACGGGGATCCTAAATATAAGCTGTATGTTCCTATCAAGAGGAAATAGGGTTCAACAAAGTACTGCATTCTGCAATACTCTTTAACATTATATGCATTTTCACCCGAGGAAAGATTTTGGATTTTTTTTGTTACGTAATTTGCTGTACACCAGGAAGCAGCTAGTTCTTTTACATTTGAAAATCCATGAAGGAAAGGCCGAATAATTTCCTCATTATTATAAAATAACTTAACTAAATATTTTTACTTTCTTGCACTTAATGACGTAACGAAAGAAAGTATTGTAATCGAGCGTTGGAAAATGGCGAATTTTCGACACAAAAACTCTTATTGTCGGGCCCTGATACGAAAAAAGTGGATAAATCCAGTTGCTAATTATAGAAAAATATTTCTCTAGCATGTGGTGTGGTTAGAATCCATGTTTTGAGGGTCCTTGATACTGAAAAATTGATTGAAAAGTCTGGCTGTCCCTCTCCATCCGCCTGTGTACAACGCTAGCGAATAAACCGTTCAGCCGATTTTCTCCAAAATTGATATTCTCCAATCGTTATAGCTGATGTCACGGACTCTAGAATTTGAAAGCGATATTTGAATTTTGGTGTGTACTTTACGAAAGCACCCGATTTTGAAAATTTTCAAAAAAATGGCTACAGGTTTATTGAATAAATTTTGTTTGTAAATAGTGCAAAATGCATTTAAAAGAATGGGAAATAAGTTTTAAAACTTTAAAATTGAAGATAAAGGTTTTTGTCTCCAACAAAGTCTGTTGTACAAAATTAGCTCTTCAAAAATGATCATGTACAATTCTTTTTAAAAAAATGCGTAGTTTTTGCGTATTTTGTGATTGAAATTTACAAAAAAAATTCTCAAAAACTGCACCAAATGTTTCCTTTACATTTTCTTCACTTATGTAATAAGAGACGTTAAAAACATGGTGCTAGTCATATTTTCGGGTCTTGCTAGGTGTTTTGAAAATTTAAACAATGTACAACTACAAAATTGAAGTTAGATATTTTTGCCTCAGACAAAATCTGTTGGACAAATTTATCTCTTCAAAAGAGGTCATGTGAACTGTTTTGAGAAAACAAATAGGTTTTGTGTATTTTCCAATTGAAATTTACAAAAAAAGGTTTTTCTCAAAATCGCTTATTATTTAAATTTTCTACACATGTAATAAGGAGCGGTAACAAATATAGAGCTAGTCGCATTTTCGGAAAATGCTCGTTTTCTCGAAAATTTCAAAAAAGATTTCTTAACTACAAAATTGAAGATAGAGATTTTTGCTTCAGAGAAAGTCTGTTGTACAAAATTAACTCTTTAAAAAAAGTCACGTACAATTTTTGGAAATTAGGAGTAGTTTTTGCGTTATTTCAATGAGAGTTTTCTGAGAATTTAGTCAAGGGTTTTTTACCCGCAAGTATGGCATGGCCACTGTGGATTTTCCATCCTCCAATAACACGCATCTTAGCCAGAATCAAACTCCCTCTCTATGAATTGAGAGGCCAGTAAGTCAAACACTCACATACCGAGTCAAAAACACACATACGCTCCTCAGCTGGGATCACACCCACTCTCTAGTAATTGAGAAGCCCAACAAAGAACTGAGAGACCAACAAAGAACGGTGCACGACGTTGAATGAACCTTTGCTCATGTGCAACACTCGTTCACACACACACACGTACACAAAGTTGTCCTGTCAACAACATGCGAAGCTCTTCTCGACAAAACATGAGAAAAACGGAACGAACCCCCAGTTCCACGACGGGTATCGGACTATGTCGTGGACTAATGTCACTTATATGATCATTCAAGTTACTTCTTGTCCCGCATATACATTTAGTGTCGATTGGATAACCATGCTCTATTTTATTAGAATCTTTGGTTTTCCAGTCATTTCGATAAATTTTTGTAACAACGTTTCGTTTCTACGCTTCAAGCGATTGCGCGGGCTGTATGAATGCCGCCTTTGAAAATAGTACGGCCTTGCGCGTTGATGTTTGAACTCAGCATTCCGGGAAGGCAGGTATTATCTAGTTATCTATTGAGACACAAAATAGTGGTAACGTCTTCTACAAGACCCATTCACATTTGCGTTAAATTTGCGCATAAGTGACCAATGTCATCAGTCTTTGCTCTACGCGGCATAAACGGCCACGCGATCGCGCCTATCTTTTCTCGAGTGTGATGAATTTGTAGGAATATTTTTGTAATAAAATATTATAATTATTCTTTTATGCTAATTATTGTGTAAATTAAATTAATTTTTTATTCATTCATTCCTAATACTATTTTCGTTTTATTATGACATATTTAGCTATCTACACATTCTCTCCCCTCCCTCTTTACCATTTTAATCTTGTTAGATTTTCTCCTTTCGACTTCATTACATTTGAATTTATATTTTTATTATGCCATTATTGTATTGTATTTATTTGTCATCAGTGTTTTGTGAAGCCTAAGTAGAAAACTGATTTTGCAAATTATCTCCAGAAATTTCTTTTATAGTGAATAATGATAATTGTGTCAATAAATGTTTAATCTACTACAATGCCCAGTTGATATTATTTAATAAATTCCCCATAACTGACGATCAAGAGTAGCTGTAATATAGAGAAAAGGGAAGGATGTTCGTAGGCGGCAAAAAATACTACCCCGCGATCACGCATGCGACACCAAATGGCGCGAGCGCCTGAAGGTTAACGTCCTCTTAGCCATTAAATGGCACCGAGAGGGGAGTAATCTTCCGTTGAATAAGTCAGTCGTTGCCTTTTATCCCTTCGGCAAGGGACTTGGCGCCGTTAAATATCCGGGGTTTCAAGACGGTCGCCCATCCAGGAACTCGCGGAGTCTCGAGTTGCTTAAGCTTCGTGACTTCAGGAACATAGTTAATCAATTTGTCTACGGACGCCTCATTAGGTGTGGCTTGTCTGGGTGGTAGTTTTTTTAGTAGTTTTTAGTAGAGGGAGTTTGGTCCATACAGTTTTATTAAAATGAACGTTGTTTCTCTGAAAGATCGTGCAACTAAATTAAGTGAATTCAAGAGCTTATTTGCTAAGGATTTTTCCGCAGAAAGTTGCTTATTTCCTCAGCGTATTGAAGAATTTTATACCACGTATATATTTTTTTTTGTAAGATTACTTTGTCGTAAGAATTTTCCGCCTTTATTTCGAACAACGTATTTGTAAACATATATAAACATTGTTGAGATTAAAGCGATTTTCGTTTTAGAGCAAATGCTTTTTATTGTTAGTTTGTAGCATTCCTTCTGATACCAAGACCACTCATCACTTTTAACATATCACTATTATTCTTGATTTACACAATGCTTTCGGTTTCATTCTTCAGGGTCATCTTTTCAAGACTATAAATAAGTAGAAGAGTTAGGTGGGTAAATGCAACCAATATTTAATATTCAACAAGATAGGTTCTGGTTTCAGGAGGTCTTCACTATTATATATTTATATGCTCTATGAACACTTGAAGAAGATACAAATACGGGTTGAAATGTTGTCTTTTATTTCTGTAATATTTTCTGTATTTTTGTTATTTTATAGGTAATTTTTATATGTAATTAAGGTTAATAATTATATTTAAAAATTGTATAAAAAATTATGTTGAGACTTCATTATAATTTTTGAGCTACTTTTCCCCATGACGTAAATTAAAGCTATTATTTTTATGACGGTTGAATTTTAAATATTGTCCGCATTTTTAGCCTTAATCCTCCTATAAAGAGACATTAAACCAATTAGAAACCAGACTAGAAGTATTCAGAAATATATAAAATAAATTGCAATGCAAAAATATCAAAACCTTTCAGGGAGTAATTCGAGATACTACTAAATTTAAAATAAGTAATTATATCAAGAAATTTGTAGAATTGTGGTCGAATGTCTCTTAAAAAATCCTTTATAAATATTAAATTTCTTTTATTAAGTGAAATATCAATGAGTTTTGACGTACAAACATATATTAACCTGTTTGAATGGTCGTAGTTTCTAATTTGTTATGAATGTGGCTATTAGTTTTGATTGTTCGAGCGTGATGCGGAAGTTTCACATTCTTCAAAATTAATTATTGAAAATTTCCCATGAACTAACCTTGAGACAATTTTGTAATACGGTGTGGAGGCAACCGTTTTAGATTCCTGACCAAGTATACCTAGGGTAGTTTGCCATTGCTTTTCCTAGGGGAGCTAGAGCGGCAATTTTGACTTTTTATTTGAATACCAGAGAGTGCAGGCCACCGTACAATATCCGCAATCTTACGCACTAATTCAAATCGAAACTCTGATTGGTGTTAAATGCCTAGAGGATTTAATTTTGCCAGGATCGACCACGTGACTTTCCTGAAATCTGTTTCACATGTCGACAAGCGTCCGTATGCATGCCGTCTATTTTTGAAAACAAATCCCCTGCCTTGACCGGGTAGCCGCGAATTTGAGATCAGTAGCCCGGCATGTTAACCACTATAACATCAAAGAGGTAGAATTTAATTGGATTCATCTATTTTTATTTTTTCTGCTTTCATTTATACTATTATTTCAAATAACAAAAAACTGCGATATATTACGTATAAATATTGTTCTGTTACAATGTCAAAAAGCCCTATTAAATATCAATTTAATTTCCTAAAGCTCTGAAAAGGTAACATTTATATTGACTTAACATTGGCAGAAATAAAAAAATTAAGGATTCCAACTGAATGCTGAGTGTTTAGACTTCGATCCACTTGATCGTTTTCATCCCTTCTTCAACATATGACAACGCCATGACAAGGTTTTTGATGCATGCCTCGTCTCTTTTGTTGCAGTAGCGAGTTGATGCGCTGGTAGACTGCGCCTGCCACTAGCGACGTCAACTAGCTCCGGCCACCCCACACGAGATGGGGGCGGCGGACAATTTCGCGCCTAGCTTCACGCAGAAGCCGCAGCTCCGGCAGGAAGATGAGGGCAACCGCCTCATCTTCGAGTGCCAGTTGCTGGCTAGCCCCAAACCTGACATCACCTGGTTTCGGGGCGACACGCAACTGGCGGAAGACAACCGCACCAACATGAAGATCCAAGCCGTCGGGAACAACAAGTTTCTCGTCGTCCTGGAACTCGACGACGTTATCGAAACCGACGCTGGTCTCTACAAGGTCAAGGCCAAGAATAAGATGGGCGAAGTGGCAGCATCCATCAATCTGAATTTCAGTCGTAAGTATATTCACACTGTGATGCTATTAGAGAAGAGTTGTTAACATTTTACTATTGCGGCGGTGATGATATGAAATGTTTATAATCGTTTCCTCACATTTAGGGATGCGCTGTTATTAGCAAATCTTCAAACACTATAAACACATTTTCAAAGATAACACTAGTTTTTGTGGATCTGTATTTATTTCGCTGAAATATTATTTCATAAGCGTAATTCATCTGTTATTCAATCATACTTCTAGCCCATTACAATGTTCCCCCATCAAGAGGAGATGTTTCTCACAGATTGCTGGCGCACTAAAATGCCCATCCCTACCATAAACTGAATGGTAGTGTATCTTAGAAAGAAACTAGTTAAAGTAAAAGAAAACTAGGATTTACAACACAATTGATTATCTTTTGTGAATCTCTTACATCGCTCGTAAAAATGAAAACATTATTGAATATCTTGGTGCAAAAACGTTTAAATCTTTTTCACTGATTGTTATGTACTTAGAGATGATAAAACAATTACCCTATATTATTACTGTAGTATAAATACGCAATGGGTCTCTCACATTGAAACAATCCGAATAAAAGGAGTGTCAAAAGAACGATAGTTTCACGGAGAGGCGATGAATTGCACCTCTGCTTCATAAGTATTTATAACTAATCGCGCCCGCGCGAACATTTAGCACTTTCTAAATAATTGTTTAAAACTGAAAATAGCTTGAAACCTAAGTTCAATTGGCAAGTACCAGAACTGAGCGATACACCATTATAAACCCGGTATTGTTCGTAGTTTTTGACGTTAATTTGTCTGTCGCAGGACTGGGGAGTAATTCTCTATCCAGCAGTAGCATTTCTGTGTCTATGGTTTCTAACAATTGTAAAAAACTGTCTTATATCCCCAGCGTGTTATGTACAGTAAGAGAGTTGTTAGCCTAAATTGTGAATGCGTAAACAAAATCTCACAATACATCACCACTTATTGTATCGAAAACAGTGCGTCCTAGGGATGAACACTTGCTTTCCCCGGTCGGAGGACTTGACTTATGTTCTTTACACCGCTCCAAAAGGAGATATTTTCTGGGGGTTATGCTCTCCTGGTTAAAGAATATCGTGCAGTATCAGGAATCCAGAGATTTGAATTGTCCTGGATTCTGTTAAAACACGTTTCGAAAACAAATGTTTATTTTAATACGACTGTGCAAAAATACAGTGTCACTTGCGTACTTGTAACAAACGTACTATACTGTAATGTTAGTAACACGTTATGTAATAATTACTGATGAATCGACCAAGAAGATTCGCTAGAATTTGGAAGTATTCATTCAAATATTCGTGGTTGTACCGGAAGCGTCAACTTCAAGAAAACAGGGATATCGACACTAATAACATACAACTTCATCAACTCATCAACCTTCCCACCAACTTCAACTCATCAACGAAGTAGCGCACATTAACAATTTATTAGACATTCCAAAAGGTTTATGTAATTTCTTGTAGATAACGCCAATAATCTGAAACAACATATTTTCCATTTTAAATGACAAGAAGGTGGGTGTATGCTTTTTAAGAACACAGTTGAAAATGAATAAAGTAATGTAATAACATTAGGGGGTACCACTGCGTATTTCATTAATATGCAGGTGTCCCACCAACTATAGTTCACCTCCATACCTTCTAAACGGATCATGATATGGAAATGTAGTTTTCGCTCAACAATGCGCAATCATGGAACTAATGATATGCTGTAGAGATATTGTTTGAATATTTTTTCGATAAATTTATATATCTTTGATTTTACGGCCAATATTTCCTGTGTCAGCCCTTGTAACTGTCGCGGCGCTGGCAATGTTGCGGGGAGAGAGGAAAAGCGGCGAACCTTCCCCAAAGATGACAACTTCAAGAAATATTGTACGTTTCATTTAAAATCACTGTCAGAAAGTATAATTTTATACTCAAAATATTATCAAATCATTAACATATGTTACATCATCGCATTCCTGTTTTTATGACGTATCTATTGCAAGTGAGAAAAATATATGGTTCTATTTTAAAAATCAAAGATGAATAAATTTCTCGAAAAATAAAAAAAATATTCTAAACAATACGTCTACGGCATATTACTTGTCCCACTTGATTCCGCATTCATTAGCGAAAACTGCATTTCCATTTCGTGAACCGTTCAGATGTTATGGAGTTGGCCCGTAGCTGTGGGACTGCCTGTATTGTATCATGAGGGGCATATTTAATATGTAATATTCGCATATTTAAAATCACAGAAGATTTACAAAAAGATAGACAAGTAAATATTACTTATAGTAATTCAATTTTTTCGTTCCATTTTTCAATTTGTCAATATATTTATCATAGAATAAAAATTAATGTATCAAATGTACGATACTCAATATTTTCATAATTGATAATCGATTTTATTATTTGTTTCCTGTTCGTTTACGTTGATTCATAAATAACTGGCCTTCGAGAGGTGCGTTTGAAGCTCATTTGTTGCAAAGCATATTTTCTTTCTCAAACCGTGACTCGTTCCACGTCTCTTTCGAGCAGAAACACGTTTCACTGCGCAGACTCATAAAAGAGTATTACGTTGGCGAAGTGTTACGTCCGTTCACAACGCCTCGACCGCTTTGGCTCCCTTCCCAGCCACTTCAAGAGCCACTTCCCCTCTATGAATCCTTGGGACAGAAATGGCAAGAGACTGCAGGAAAGTAGGCTGAGGGAACTGAGCCAGATAACAGATCGAGCCGCCCTGTGTTACGTCCCGGGGAGAGGCGCGGGGCTGGCGCGTGGCTGGCGCGGGCGGTGCGGAGGCGGTGCGGGGCGGCACAAGGGCGGCCCAGGGTGGAGAGTCACAACAGCCCCTGAGGAAACGCAGTAGAGGTGCGCTTAAGCTCTCACCGCGAGCAGATGCGCTTAAGCTCTCAACGAATATTTCCATACACTAGGCTTTCTTTGGTGTGGCTACTGGACATCTCACGCGAGATGTGGGACCTAGAGTCGATTCTAAATGGAAACATAATTATATGGAGCGTAATTATAACTTTAATAACGTATATTAGAAATAAAATTGGTTACTTAAGACGAGATGGTGTTAATCAGGCAAAAATCATTCTCATAATTTCAGTTGGACCCCGAAGTTAGTCGCAGGTAATGTTGTACATTGATGATGGATTCGATACAAATTTTCATCATTATTTTCTCGGTAACTCCATCGTTCAACTTCTTATTTATACCGATGGTTCAGAATAAATGTTGCAAACTTGTAGAGCATGTAGGAGGATCAAAGATAATAACTTTTTGCTAATGAACCTGTGGTGGGAACCCGTTCTATAATGGCTGACAGCGCGCACATAATAGGTGTGCACCTTATCTTGCACTGATGTTACAGAAGACACACGAATTGTCGGATTGACCAGTCCTCTGTCAACGACAACATTGTCTTTTTTATTTGTTTAGTTTCAACTACAAAACTTTCTCCAACAGTCATATTTGGTGCAAATACGATGCACATTCTGACACATTCAACACTAAACAAAATAGTGAAGCTACAACAGCACGTACTGAAGAAAAAAATTGGATCCCCTGTTCAGAAAAGGGTCATTTTATAATTTGCTTTAACGCTAAGCAGAAATTACGTGAACACTACTTTTTTTCAAAAAACGTATTAACATCTTATTTTAAACATCTTATTTTATAGAACAGATATGATTTAAGACAAAAATCAATAATTTTCAATATTGTAATATTGCAATGTCAAAATTTGCAATTTTCGAATATTTGGAGAGTTCGCCGAAAATGAGAGTGACACTATTTTTATATCGTCATTTATATATACATACGAGGAGAAAATTTAAAGAAAATATTTGGAGGCGTTTTTGAGAAAAAAAATGTTTAAACATTGACTATATTTCACGTAAAATTACGGAAAAAGTAATCATATTATCAAAAAAATTTACATGACCATATTTCAAGATTTGGCTGTAAAAAACATTTTATTAAGGGAAAACTCTATTTTCAATATTGTACCAAGACGCCAAAAATTTGTGAACTTTTGCAATTTTCGACATATTATGTATTTCAATGAAAAAGAGACTTGAACCACCATATGTTAAGCGTCCTTTACGCTATCCGAGGTTTAATAAAAAATATTTGGAGCCATTTTTTTAGAAAAAATTTAAAATTGTGTCGAAGCTTCTTGTAAAGTACCCCCAACAATTAAAAAAATGTTTTAAACTCAGAGGGCTTTGAGTTTAAATCGATGGACGAATATCATTTTTTAGAAACTCGGCTGACCGGTTACAGCGTCAGCGTTAACCACAGACGGACGAACATGTTTCACGTCAATCGATTTTTCGGTATCAAGGACCCACGAAACATGGATTCTGTCTACACAACGTGTTAGAGAAAGTGGTTTTTCTCTTTATAGAAACAATTTAGAACTTTTTCGTTACCAGGGCCCGACAATAAGAGTTTTTCTGTCGCCGTTTTCCGGCCCACGATTACAATACTTTCTCTTCTTACGAAGTGAGGACGAACAATATTTTGATGGTCAGTGAGGTCTTCCCCTGAGGGGTCGTAAATCCGCCAAGCCCCAATGTACGAAAATTTGCTTTCCGGCGATCGGGAGTGCGCTGTCAGAAATGGTATTTGTGTAACATCGTTGTACGTAAAAATTGGTAACTCTGCCCCTTTAAAAAAATATTTCCAAATTTAAATTTTTAATTCCAAGTTTAGTTACAAATTTTATTTGTGCGGCGGGGCCTGCATAAGGTCATGTGCTTCACCTTCAGCATTAGCATTGTAGCATATTTCTGGGATACGTATTTCAAGATGCTACTTATGCAATAACCTTGTACAGTGCGTTACCTAAATTATGTTTTCATTATAGATGCCTCTTTTTACGTTAATCTTCGACAACTTGGGACGTCTTCAAATCTATCTTTAGTATTTATCGCACTCGTTTTATTAGAGGCACATAAAAAGCAGATGGTCCATTCTGTGTTAATGTAGTGCAATCATTTATATAATTTTATTCATATTATTCAATACCTCAATATCCCAGAACGCTTTCACCCCTCAATAAAACCTTTAGTACAAACCCATTAAAAAGATATGGTTGTTCCTTTTTTATTTGCAAATTTAACTTAACGATATTTTGCCTAATTTATATATTTTTCATATCAAAAGGAAAAGAACATTACAAACACATTTTCGGAAGTAACTTAAGCTGTAAGTTCATGCGAAAAAAGTCCTTATTTTTTTAAATATGTATTTCTCCATTTCAATTTACATGTATTTTGAAAAAAAAGTTAACTAAGTAACCGAGCAATGAATTCCATGTTTAATTTTAAATTACATTTAAAGAGTTGGGAGAATTCATTGGATCAAGTTATAGGGAATTTGAAATAAATACTTTAAAAAAATATTTGACATTTTATGTTCAATTGCGTTTTGAATGTATTTCATTCAATGACTCCTGTCACATTGCTGGAATGGCAATTATGGTATTAGATAATATTTAATACATAACTGAAAGAAATATTTCTCAACTATTTGAAGATAATTCATATACAACTGATATTGGTCCAAATCGAATATTAATTAGTAAATATGCTCAAATTAAAATAATGTAACTTTTCACAGCCTGTGTCTCATTGCGAAATAACTATCCATTCCTTATAATACAATGAATGCACACGCGGGTGGGCTCGTGCGGGCTTGCTCTTTTATGTTCCTCCTGCGAAGCATGCACCATGCAATGTCATCACAGTACAGTATTTCGGGAACTTTCGTCACCCCTGGTCCCACAAATTAGAGGTCAACTACAGTTTATTACATTATTAATCAATAGCTTTAATTTGCCAGTGGTTTGTCACATAACTATTGTAATATGCAGTCTTCCGTGTAGTCTTCCTTGACGTACCAGTTAACCATCTTTTTCTGACTTTTCGACGACTGAGTGCCTTTCTGCCCTGCTGACATTTCAATGATTTAATACTTTATATCTTTTTTTGGCATTCGTATGACTCATAACATCATTTAATAATAATTTTATTTTGATGTAACATCCGTCAGGCTTACTGCTGTCTCTGAACGGGTGGCAATCCAAGTTCTTATTGATAATTGTAATTTTCACAATACGCACACAAAATTTCAGATGTGACGCCGCCGTAAAAATCATTGTTCTTTGCAAGATTTGTGGATCCCTTAGCGCTCGATTGTTCCGCTTCTCGACCGACAATACAAAGGCATTCTTCTTGGTTCCGGTCTCAGATTCCGTGAATGAATTATGAAACGTGGCGGAATGACGACCTTTGTCACCCTGTTTCCTCTGATGATGTCTTTCCCGACATCCACTTGGTTGGCAGGAGGTTAAAACCCCATTGCAACGATGCCCGACAAACTGTTAAAATATGTTGCTATGTCTTCTATTTAGCGGGGAAACTAATTTGTAGCTGAAAGAAGTATATTATAACCGAATCTTCCTTCTAACAGCTGAAACACGATAAATCAAAGGCACATATTTGTAATAAATGAAAATTCACGAACTTTGTACATTCGATGGTTTATTTTCAGCTGGATAAAGAAAGAGAAATGCAACATGCTATTATAAATTTTCTCAATGTAGTTTGCTCAAGTGAGGCAAGAGAACATGTGAGGGTTCAATTTGGGATTGAATTCGTGGGACGTTGTTGGGTAATACTGTAGACGTTAGTTAATTATAGCAACATTCATGATGTATGTCTGTTTGTTTGTTTCTTTTTAGTTTATCTGTTTTGTGCGAGAGGGTATAATAAGGATTTATTGGTGTTAATTGGGTAATTATATTTATATTAGTTGTAGTTTTAGTGTCATAAGTAGTTTTCTGCTGGGTTTGCGGTATCCAGTTTTGAGATAATATGGAGATATATGAGATGGATTTAGGAAGTTGGAGGAGTAACTGTCACGTACTATTCTACAGTAGTTGCATATGTCATCCCTTGAAGTTGCTATTCTGAAAATATTAGGTGTGAATTTGGCTTAAGACTTCTTCACAGAGAGAAAGCTTTGCGACGTCTAAGAGAGAGTACTAAATACTAGTGAAGGACAAAAACTACTCTTCATTTCGATTGCTTTGGTTTTTTAATGTGTAACTTACTAACTAACAGAATATCTATCAATGTATCATTCTAGTTAAAGAGCATTCCCTGATAAAGTCTGGTAACCTGACAATGGTTGTACAAATTTACTCCAAAACTGTCAAGTATCACATTTATAATTAAGAAAGTCCATAAGTACTAAGAATGGTTAAATCAAGACACACATCTATTTTTATTGCATATGAAATTCAGTTCACTCCTCATATCACAGAGACTCATATGCCTTCTGCAATTGAACCTGTAGTTCCTTGAAATGTAATTCACCTTTAAGTTGAAATATATAAGTGTGGTTCATTATGACAACAAACCCATCTTTATAAACCATTTAAGTAGATGTCTCGCCCATCAAACACATCTTAAGCTATGAATTATTTTCAGAAATACCCTTAGCGCATGTATTTTGTGGTATGAAATCTGATATGGTAAATAATATGCCTGTTTACTATGAAACCTTAGAAAGACCATCCTTTAGGTCATTCTTTTCACAAACCCGCTCTGAGTTCACATCAAAAATACAGTGAAGACGATCACAAAACCTATTTTCTTTTCTATTCTTTAATTGAAACTACTTCTACTACTACTAGTACTACTACTACTAATAATAATAGTAGTAGTAATAATAATAATAGTAATAATAATAACAATAGTAATAATAATAATAATAATAATAATAGTAGTAGTAGTAGTAGTAGTAGTAGTAGTAGTAGTAGTAGTAGTAGTAGTAGTAGTAATAATAATTTCATCAGTTTTAAATTATTTAATGAAGCTATATGTTCTGCACTTCCAAATGTACCATAAGACACGTAAATGTGGCACATAATATACCAGCTTTGTCCCTGATTATAATGAAACCTCTTCCACCAGAACTAAATTTGAAAATCGAATTAAACGAAAAATATTTTTCTACTTAATTAGTATGCAGAATGAGAGTCATGAATATTCAGAAGTATTTGAAGGTCTAGTTTGTAATGTCAAATGCAATGTTGAAAACATTACATTGTTTATTAATCCCAAAAACAAGTATTTTAGTGTTATTGAGAAGATAATTTTCAAGTCTGTTTCTTAAATTTGTGTAATACATGACTGCATTTGTTTTGTAATGCAAAATTCCTTGTTTATTGAATGTCATCGGAAAACTTTAAAAAACTTTTGATTTTCTTACTTAAAAACTATATAGCAAACCTTTGCCACAAGTTTTGCTTAATTTGATAAATTAAATTGCTTTGCTGTTGCTAGACAAAACGACAAAATTCATGACACAATGGCCAAAGTCGTGAACGAAATATGTTTGGACGTTCATGGCCCATTCTGTATAATACACGACTATTGTCTGTATTCCTGATAAAAATGTTTCAAGAGTCTTTGCACGCAATCTGATTATTAATCGTTTCTTGTTTCATTGCAGCTGTTGATGAGCCACGAGAAAAGTAAGTAACTCGGCGAACACCTGTAACTGTGCCTGTGGCTTCTTCTTTTGCTTCTTTTTCTCTATATGCCTAACGCTCCCTAATGCTTAACCTCTGTTTCAGTAGAGTAGCCGCTTAGCTGCTTCTTAGAGCTTCACTAGATTAGTACATTCGTAGTGCTGTAGCCGCTTTTTCACTTAACCCTCTGTTTTATTGCAGCTGTTCAGCAGCCACCCGACAGGTAAGAGCTCCTCTTGCACAACTCTGCTTTCTCACTCACTTTCTCTCTCTATGCGCCTCTGATTCATAGCATTATGGCTTTGTCATTAGTGTTCAACGTTCTAAAATTAATACCACGTCAGCATGTACTTTCCGCCCTAATGATAATAAAGCAGTGTACGACAAGTGTATTATTTGGTTCAGAGCAAGCGATAAAAGGCGATTGATGTATTTTGATGAAAACAGATGATGAGTCATGAGTATTTAACTGTTATTTTTCCTCCCGGAATAATAATTTACAAAAGTATTAAGAGAAATTCTCCCATTTAGGTGTCACTTATTCTCTTATCCACAGTTTTGTAGTCTATTCTTTTAGTATTAGTATAATGATACTCTCTTGTTCGTAATGTTCATAATAAGTTTAATGCTTATGATAACTTCATACCAGATTAAATTACTCGTGATAACTGAAGCAACAATAGACTACATACCGTACCTGAACCATACGTTATAATTTCCGCCGAACGTTCGTCAGAATAAAATGCCAATAGCGGGAAGTTCCGTTTGTGTGAAACGCTGGAAGGAAATCTGCAGAGGGGAAGAGGGGGCGGAGGGCAGGAAGGCGCCTGAGTGGGAGTGTGTGCTTCGCAGGCAGATCGACGGCATCGCGCCCACGTTCTCCAAGAAGCCCGCCATTCGGCAGGAGGAGGATGGCAAGCGGTTACTGTTCGAGTGCCGCATCCAGGCCGACCCCCGGCCCACCGTCACTTGGTCCCACAACGGCGCGACGGTACAGGACTCGTCTCGGCACCGGGTGAGCACTTTTCCCACGCACCGCACCGCACCGCACCTAACCATCCTACTCGTGCTCCCTGCGCGCAGTGGCCTTGCACTCGTTGCCGTACCCAGCGAGTCCCATCTTAATGGGAAACACCGTATGCACGAATGGGCTATTTTTACTCCAACCTGCTTAACGGTTATATATTACTTTTATATTACGTCATTTTACTTTAGTTTACGTAAATGAACTATTGCGGTATAAAAAGAAGATTGTTTAATGAATTGTTTAGTTTCTTTTACTCCATCCCCATTATTATCATGTAAGCTCTGAGATTTTTGCCGAAACATACTTACAACGAGCACTTTTTTTACACGAATGTAAGACTTATTGTTGTGAATCACCTAGTGCAGATGTCAGCCCCGTCTCTGGACTCTGATGCAAAAACGGACGCATGGTTCGAAGGGACTGTGAACAGGATGGAACATAAGAGAACTATACAAATGCCTCACCATTCTTACTCGCTCCCCACTAAACTTATATCTACTGGCCGCACTGATACGGACGTATCTAGAAGAAAGCGACTGAAGGAAATCAAAATTAGTTTGACTCGCCTGGCTGAAAGACATTACTTGTCATTATCTAGTGATTTTTTGCGGCGAATGGTATGCAAGCGGATGATTACAGAAACACCTTAAGTGTTGAGTACAAAAAGTACTAAAAACCGGTCCGGATGGCCGGTATCGTTAAGGCAGTAGTGCCCTAGTGATCTCGGACCGAAGAATCGAGGGTTCGGGGTTCGAGTCCCGCCTCGGGCATGGTTGTATTTGTGTTCGTCCTTTCACACCCTATCATCACCATATAAAGTCATCTTCACAGTTACCATACCGTTAAATGCAATATGGTCGGTAATGATCTAGATGTTGATACAACCTTAAATATCAAAAAAATTATGAATTTTGTAAATTATATCAGATCTTATTTTATAAACCATTCATTCACGAATAGCCATGGTTGAGTTTGAAAGTAACAGTATTTCGTGTCAGTGTGACATTCAATGGTTGAGACATTTTTTAAATAAATTCTAGAAATATAGATTATTTTCAATGAAAAAAATGCTCACAATCCTATCCCACTCATGTTCATGCCCTATAAACTGGCACATGCATACTCGCACTCATCGGCTTTTTTCAAAATTCACAAATTCAGCATAAAATTGTAAACAATAATTGACATTTGAATCTGTAAAATGGTTTCCTTTACGTTACTGTAATATTTATATTGAAGATATATTTTTAGTAAAAATTTGGGTCGAACCCATTCATTTTTAATGATTTTTTTTAAATTTACAGACTCCTATTACTTCAATTGAATTAAGACTTTTGAAATATCTAAAAGTTAAAAAATCATGAAAGAACTGGGACCGGCGTTTTAGAAAAAGTGCATACACGGTTTTGGAAAATTGTCTCATTTTGATTTGAATGTGATACAGGAAAACCATTAAGATTTGCAAAGACCTTCATATGAAAATATTCAAAAGTCCAACTTGTATTGTAACGAAGGTGAAATACAAATTCAAAAATAAATTTAGTATTTGTAATTTTTGGATTCTTTCAAGATTAAATGGACTTTGCTTTATTCGAACAAAATGTTATGAGAAAAATGAAACGGTTTTTGAAAACAATTGAAAATTATTTGAATTTAAAATAACGTAGTACACACGAAAGTTAAAGAATAATATTTAATCATTATTTAACAGCCCTCGTATATACAATAAATATTTTTTGAATAAAAAATAAAATCAAATAAAAAAATTACTCGTTTTGGTGAAAACTCAAATGTTTTTTTTTATTTGACATGTCAAATTATTTTTATTTTATTCTTTTTTTCAGTTGGTGGTTGAGAAAGATGGTCATTCGTACTTTGCTACATTAGAAATAAAAAATGTCACTGTTGAAGATGCTGGCAAATATAAAGTGACTGCAAAGAACGAATTGGGAGAGAGTAATGCGACCATTAGTCTCAATTTCGACAGTAAGTATGAAAGCGATACAATTTAGCGAGTGTGAAAAAATATGGCTACTAGTGAGAAACGCAGATGATTCAGCCCAATGTCCTGCTTTTCCTGCCCATTTCCTTCAAACAAATGAAATCACAACCCTCATCGCAAAAATAACCCTCTTTTCTCCGAGCTGCCGGGGAACCTTCTTCGTTGGACGACATTCAAATTACTCTTAAAACGAAAAATTAAACAATCCCATTTTCAGTTGACAAACATGTCTGCTCAGAAACAACATTTAATTTTGTTTGCGGCTTTTACTCACCTTCAGGGGCAAATATATTTTCAAAGAAGTAACTTAATTCTATACGCAAACAAAATAGTACTTATTCATTTACTTTGCTGCCATTTGAACGTACCACATACGCAAAAGTATCTTTTATTATTTTCTAATACCATATAGGACATCAAGATCACGTATTCTATGTATACGGACATGAAATATACTCTGCACCGAATTACAGTTGATTAAACAGTTGATTAAAAATAACTTTAAGAATGTAAGTGACTTGTAGAAAGTTGAGCATGACACCGAAATCACATTGTTTGGCCTGAGTACTTTCACCTACATCCTGCACGAATATTTAATTTTCACAAACAGCTCGCACCCACACGTCCAACTGACGGGAACCAGCAATACTAATCACAAAATATACTTACACATTCGTGATTCCATGTGCACAAGCATGTTATGTGTTACATATCCATGACATTTCTCATTCCATTTTCAAACGTACTCACTTGAAAATACTACAAAAGCATAAAATATCAATAAACTCACATGAAAATATAATCGTATAAAAAATCTTAGTAATCCTAATAATGTGCTACTTTTTGTGAAACATCTATAATATCAAAAAATATAATCAACTAAGTAATTTAATATTCAAACATTTGTTACATATTTGTCACAGGCGGTGAGGAAATATATCGCATATTAAATCCACGAGATTAGAATTCCTGCTTTCTGCTCTGCTCTTCCAATTCGATTTTCTATGATATTAGAGAATACTATAATATCAATGCTGATTATGTAAACCACATTGTTTCATTATTCATATAGCTGCTATTTATCAGCATGTTCACTGATTTAGGGTATTTCTGTCAAGTAATACATTGTCATAAAATTAATCTTTGTGTACAGAATGCGTCAAGTAAAATATTACAAATTTGTAACATAGTATTGCACACTACAAACACGGAAGAAAATCAAGAATGGATTGACTCTCAATGTATATTAGAACACAAACAAAATTATTATTGCGGCGTTCTTATCGCACATTTCGAAGGCAGATAACCTCATCTTCAAGTTCTGAAGCAATTTCTGAAGTGGCATTTGTCGCTGTTCTCGTTCCGGCCGAAAGCAAACGCCACAGCCTCTCGCGGCCAGTGCCTAGAGCCTCGGCATCGGCGAACGCGCGCCCATCGCATCGTACCAACCCATCACCCCAGCCTCGCCCTCTCTGGCTTTAGCTTACGCCTGTCACTTACCCCCTCAGCGCTTATGCCTGGCCCCCGCCCCCGCCTCCGCCTTCGCCACCGACTACCGCCCTTCCGTCCGCCACCCTCCTCTTCGCCTCCCCGCCAGCGCCTAATCGCATCGCTTTGCTTGCGCGACCAATGAGCTCGACGCCCTCGCACAGCCACGGGCCTACGTTCCACGCCGTTTCAAGCGAAGGGGTTCAGGGAAGTCAGTTAAGTAGAGTAGTGCGATTCGTAACTTCAGGCCAAAAAAAAAATCCTAAAAATACATGTAAACATGAAGTGAAGTGTCCACATTTTTAACCTACCAAATCGTCGCCCGGAGGAAAATCATCAGTCTAGATTTCTTTTAAAGAATGCACGAACAATAAATTTCATACAATGAAAGAAATGAATAACATGCTTAGATTTATTTTTATGGATATACTGTAATAAGCTACGCACTTAAATGAAATTCTCGTAAAAATACAGAAATACTACAAATTTCTGACTCACTATACAGCTAAGTTACATATTTTAAAATGCATATATTGCTTGCTTTATTAGAAATTATTATCAGATAATAAACTCAGCGCACTAAAAATTGTTCTTAAGATGTTACTTCATCTCCTAAAATTTAATTTTATCGTATCAGGCGTTTCGTTACTACTTGTTGTTACAAAACTTAATATATACCCACACATCTTTTAAAACTGTTTGGCCCGTGATCTTATTAAAAACATGTAAACTTTTCATAAATAAATTATTTTAGTAGTGGTTATTGAACACCAATGTTCTACATAATATTTATTAATATTATTACAAATGTCATTAATTTTAAGGATATATTTATCATAGCTTCTTGGCAACCATATTAATTGAAATTAATTATTGATTTCGGTAATATATGTGGCTTGAGGCGTCCATTGGTCCTTGTAACCCACCACTCGCTTCCGATCGCTTAATTGAACATGAAAGCGACAAGCATTGGACTACTGGAAGCGAGTGGTCACGCTCACTATTATTAATCAGCTGTGAGTTTTCTTCAAAGGTAAGAGAAAGTTGACACTTACAATTGGCCAGTATTTCTACTTGTTTTCTAAAAGCAAACCAAACACAAAACAAAAACATCGTGTATTCTGGAATCCAATTACTCTTTTGGTTCATTTCTTTGGATGAAGTAATCTAAAGAAATGATGACTTTGCTATATTGGCCAGCTTCATAACAAATGCGTGCTTGCTTCTTCCTCTGCATTTTTCTAACTCATAACTCTATACTCAATTTAGATTGCCTGATCACAAATATATTTTATTGAAAACAATTTTCTTTTTGAATGTCTTAAATATTTTATTCAACCTTTCTTGTCAATATGTAATGTTTTTGTTTCTTATTATTTATCACTTTCTTCCTTTCATTTGTAGTGTTTAATTTTGTATATTTACCGTTTGTCTTTATGTTTGTATGTTTGTTTGTTTCGTTGTGTTTCGTTGGTTCGTTCCAACAGGCTGTATCTCTGGCTGGTAGTTCCCTAGGCACGAGCAGATCACCCCGTAGTTCAATGTCTGCATGTGTAGTCTGTGTGGTGGTGCCTGTATGTCTTTTATTTTCTCTCTTATCTCTCTGTCTGTTCGGCAGCCGTAGATGGAAATGTCCGCCCGCATGTGGCCCTCTTCGCCATCTCCGTTCTTATCATTTTTTTCTTTTACAGGCGCAACACTTGTCATAATGGCATGTTCTTGTTTCAGTTTTAACGATGTGTTTTTTTTTCTTTCCAAAGTTGTTATCTCCTCTGTTATCACCCTTGCAATGCATCGTGTTTCGAATGTGGATCAGGCATGGATGCACCTTGAACTGTTTCGAGCAGTGGCTCCAGATGGTCTGACGCTCTCTAATTGGTTGCAGCTTTGTAAATAAAAGAGCTGTGTTATGCTTCTTTTCCGCATGGTTATGGGAAGATGCTCGAATTTCTACAAAATGTTGCGCTTCCAGTCACATACATTACATCTCAACGCGTAGCTGTAATCGCATTGGTGCCATTTTGATACTCATGAATTCATTTTATTCAAGATACAATGGCATCAGCGTGAAATGAAAATGTACAGTAATTGTAATATTAAAAATATAAATATATCTTTCCTGGGTGATGTTAGCAACTGAGATTAGTAGTTTTTAAAAATTGTTTAGATTATTCTATTATTCCGAAAAATAAAAGAATACGAATTGGTTTACCCTTACATTAAAATTTCAGATATGAAAACATTGCAATAATTGCAATTCATGTTGCTTTAGAAATTTGTATAATATATTTTGTACGTTATATCCCAAATTAAGTTAACAAATTTCCAATTCAAGAACTGTCGAAAATTAAACGCGTTTCTGCACCCAGAGAATCTAATTCTAAATATTTTTTTCTCTGGAAGTGTAGCTAACACTGTGGCAATTAGTAAATCCGTGATATAGCTTGGCACAACAAGGCAATAGCTCAACAACTCGACGAACAAGCTAGTAGTGCCGAACATGCCAGGTACGCAACTATTGGCGAGCGGGGCGTGACGGGGGTGGGGCTGGGGGTAGCGGCCGTAGAACGCACTCGGGGAGGCCTCGCGCCGCACGGCGGAGCGACTGCGCTGACATCGGGCTCCCCTTCGTGTCTGCATCGGCGTTCCCAGATTCGTTGCAAAGCAGCGTAGAGGCAACGTCAATGGCAGCGGCGGCGGATTCAAGGCGCCTCGACTCCTTCCACCAATACCTTAATAATATTTCTCTGCCTCTGAGAATCATCTTCGAGAGAGGTGTACTCATAAACTAGCCGGTCGGTTTAGGTTCCTTTCTGGATATAGGCGACGAGGCGCCGGTTCCAGAGGACGGCATCAAACCCACATTCACAGAACGACCTGTGATCCGCCAGTCGGACGACGGAAGCAAAGTGACGTTCGAGTGTCGGCTGGTCGGAGATCCGAAGCCCAGTGTGACATGGTAAGTACTGCACACGCGCATACTTTTTCTTGAAAATCAATGGATGCTCGAAGACGAATGGTAATATACTCCGATTAAAACAGGAAGTCATTTCAAGGTTACGATCTGGCAGGAAAACGGTACACTGTCATCGAATAATTTTTTAGTATTGAATGATAGTATCCCTCCCTCTCTCTTTACGACTTGTGACCTTGAAAGGACTTCGTTATTTTAATCAAAGTATACAAAAGTAATTATATTCTTCCTCATAATTACTATTACATGGATTTATAAAATGAAAAATATGTATTATACATTGTATGGTTATGATAAAATCATAAATAAAACATGTAGGTCAAAACTGCATAAAAGGAAGCATACAAGTTAGTACGAGCAAGTTAGTAGCGATCTCGGACCGAAGGATCGCGGATTCGAGTCCCGCTTCGGGCATGGTTGTATTGTGTATCATCATCATTATCGTGTCTTCCTCGTAAATACCAGCATAGTGGTCGCTAATGACCTAGTAGTTGATGCGACCTTAAATAACAGAAAAAAAACTTACGTAACGACCGAAATGGACGTACCGACATATTCACATAGAACAGGCCTGCACAACGCCTGCTCCCGCGGGCATTCTGCACTTACGAGCCAGCTGTCTGACCGCGAGAACGCCGAAAGTGCAAGTGGTGGGGAGAAGATAGCTTTGCGGGGAGGGGAGAAGTTGGAGCGGGGTCGACGTGGCGCGTAGACTGAATGCCTGGGCGTCTAATGCAATGTTCCATGCTGTGACATTATTTGCCCTCTTTTTTAAATGAGTGGTCAACTCTATTTCTAGCTACAAGGGCCATATTTCACTGTTTAAGTTCTTCTGTGCGCTACTATGTATTGTAATGGGTCATTACATATGAGGAATAAAATTGAGAATTGAGAATATTTGTTGGTAAATGAAAGCCATGACGGAAGTAACAATGGTGACGGGAAGCGATGCACGACATAGACATTATAAATAAAATGTGAGTGAACGCGTGAACAAACAGGACTTGAGAACGTAAATAATTTTGTGACAGAATTAGTTAAATATGATGGTCAAGTGAGCAATTTCCGTGAGAATAAATTGAATAAATAAACAGATGGGACGCTAAGACGAATTCGACCAACAGGAATAAAGAGAATTTGATACTAAAATTCGCGATGTGCAAACCAGACGAAAGCGCGTTTGTGCGCAGTAATCGCGATATTGTCGATGTCAATAGACTGGCGCGAATAATAAAAAAACAAGGGAGAAGAAACTCGGGCTGGATGGCGGTGGGATCTATGAGCTTTAGATCTGCGATCAAAAGATATTTTTGTCGAGTTATTAGTTTCAAAGCTAAAAATGTTTTTGAAAGTACTGAAACGCGAACAATTGCATGATACGTGTAACAAAGTAATAATTTAGCTAATGGATCGGGACATTGGTGCAATTTTAATGATACGAGCACGTATTGCAACCCCGATATTTTCGTGTGTGGAACTGTGAAGATAGTGACGGAGTGAACCGGTTATGACAATCAATGGTGCAGATTTGGCAGAAACAGCAAAGTGACATTGAGAGAATTTTATTGAAACTGGGAAACTGTAAGAAGATCAAGTCTTGTTCAAATAAATTAAGATTAAATTAAGATGGGGAAAAATTATAGCCATACATGAATTAATGGAGGGATTATAAGAATATTTTGACATTTAGAATAATCAGATTGAATTAAATGTTATAAATATAAACGTTTGTTAGAAAGTGATATACTTTGTCGTTGTCTGAATGAAAAATATGTTAATATATTTTTGGATGTTTTACGGAATACAGCGATGTAAAATTGATCCAGAAGTAAGTCAACTATCACAACGTATGTAAATTTACAATTCCGATATCCTGTACTGGCAGGCTATCGGACCTGCAGAATTGAAATTTTTATCATGATCGCATCATTTCGAGCGGTAAATATTCAAAATAGGGCAAGAGAAAACATCATATAAAATAATTATAATTAATAGCACAGTAGTTGATGTGCCAGCGTGGCGAGAATGTAATATTGTTTGCATAAGGTAATAAGCCGGAAGTGAAATGAGATTGGATTGACACGCTAGATGTGGGGCTATAGCTGATGTTTATAAATAAAAATGTTTATAAACAAAAAAAAATGAAATGACCACCGACCATCGACATTTTTAAAATCTAAAATGTGTTATGTAATTTTAACTAACAAACATTTATAATTTAATAATAGATTTTTCACCAAGAATGTTATAATATTCAAATGATGACATAACGAAGGAAATTGAGGGCAGTCTCACAAATCGAAATTGTTACAATATAAAAATGAAATACATGCAATTCCAAAAAGGGTAATGTTTGGCAGCACATATTTGTGACCATTTTCTTTCACTATGAAGCTGAATAAGAGGTACCAATGAGTAAACCTCTTTTACGATATTTTATGTGTAAACAATAAATTATTTTGAGTATTATTAAATAGAACGCAAAGGGCTTAATCTTTTTATACAATGTTGTAAATTATTATGAATAAATAGTGTTCATTAATTTAAAATTAGAATTATATTATATACGCTTGTCGGAAAATAGAGCAGAAAGTAATCATGATTTTTTAAGAATAAAATGTTTTAGCTTCAATAAATCCTTCTTATTCAGTTGCACATAGTGAATGAAAGAAAAATGTATTACTGTCACCATCAAACAAGAAAAAGTCAATATTACAATTATGTATTTAGCAGCACGCTAAATTTGCAATTACATCGTAGCAAAGCGAATTACATTTTGTGCCCTATAAGCAATTGTAATACTTAAGGTATCCAAATCAAATATGTATTCTAATTCGTTTTAGATTCATTCTGTACATTGTCATAAATTGGCAACAATAATTTCCAAAATAAAAGGTAATGAATGATACGTGACGTGTGTGTCCGTCTTCTCGCAATTGCTATTTCAATTTACGCGCTGCGGTTCGAATTGCGCATTCTCATTGGCGGTCCCCACTCCTAGAATGAGTCTTATTCCCCTCCTTCCACGCAGCCCAGGTTTGCACTTACGGTGCCCGGGCGCTGCTCCTGAGGTCAGTCAATGTGCAGACTGCTGTGCAGGCCTGACACGGAAAATAGTGATCAATATTTTTAAGAAAACACGGCTTTGTTCTTTTATTGTCAAAAGATCAAAAGTTCTTGAAAACCTGATGTATAATTTCAATATATTATAATTAGGCACAGCGATCGTAAATCGAGTACCGTCCCCCCAGCAACGTACTATACAGAACGTCGAAAACAAGTCCAGAGCTATTAACTTCCTAAATTTTACTTTCCTCGAGTATACGATCAGTATACATACGACGAATATCCATACGTAACATAGAACAGCCCTGGAATCTGTCAAAAACAACCATATCAAGACTTACGGGGCAATCCGTTTTCAGAGTTACTTGCAGGAAAAACGTGTCTGGATAAATGGATGTGTCCAAAGGTGTTTCACGCAGAATTTGAGCAGATAATAATATTTTTAACTCTTAGTACACATATCGGAAGTAACTTCTGTTAGTGGCGTTCCAAAAATGGTTGAGTTAGGTGTAGAAAATATACTTGCTATTTTTACAAATGTGAAGTTAAAAATGACAAAACAATAAACAACAACATTCGACAAATTTCAAAGTAGGTACTACAAATTGCAAGATAACATCTAAAACCTGCAAAAAATATCCAGAAAACAAGCGTTAAAAATAGCTTTTTACTACACAATTTTAGATTTCCGACATGTATGAAAAACGTGAAGTCTCGGCTTTTCTCAAATCGTACGCTTGTCCGTTCATCTATTCACCTGTCTGTTAACAACACTAGTGACTAAACAAACTCATGATATTTACCAAAATTGATTTACCCCGATCACTCTACATTATGTCAAGGTCACTAGAATTTAAAGGGTTTCTTTTAATTTTAGGGAATACATTTCATGAAACCTCCTGTATTTTCTAGAAAATTTCTAAAAATGACTTGATTTTTTTTCAAATTCGAATCTTCCATGCTTCTTCTACAGGACAGAGTTTATCAAGATATGGCTGAAGAATTAGTAGGGTACAAGTTGGAATATTTTAATATTGTGTGACCGTTAACGATAATACTAGAAAATATCTTCTGCTGTAAGCACAATTAGATTACATTTAAGTAATTCTATTTTCAAAACGGATTTACATTTTTTAAATTTATATTTATTTATATTTAGGAAATAATCTTCAATATATTTATTTTTTTATAAAATTCGTCTAAGAATGCATTATACAGTGCGTCTAAGAGTGCACACGTACAAAATAAATATTTTGTAATTAATGTATTAAGCGAATGCAAGAATGAAAAATACATTTCAATAATGTCAGTCCCAATGACGTTTATTCGGTAATGGAATCCACAAAAAAACAAAAACAAATCAGAGTGTGCTTCAAAAAAGGAAATCAAAAATGTACTTGAGACTACTTGCTTCATCGATATTAGTAATGCGAAACAAAACAATGAGGCAACACGCCACTTCTAGAAAGTCTTCCATAAACATTTCTATAAAATGTAAGGCATATAGGACATCGAGAATCATTAATTTTAGTTATTAGCATAAAACCGGGCCATAACGCCTCATTGACGATAATTCATAATAAACATTATGTGGGCCAGTTTCCGCGGTGACTCTCGCCTATCTTTGTGGCAATTCTTTATGTAACTGGCTTTATGTAACATTTGCGGACTGCTGAGCCATCTTCCATTTCAAGATTCTCATTCTATACACGCTATTGCGATATATGGTCTCCCTGAAAGCAACAAAGGGACCTGAACATCCCTTTTTTCATTATCCAATGCTCGTTTCTTGGCGTTTTTTCTTTCCTTCTTGAACTTTCCTGTATACATACGTGAAGACGGAGTGATATACGTAGTATAGGGAAAGTTGTGTAATGCTGCGCAAAAAAACGGCGGATTTTCGGCAGAAAAAAATTCAT